AGCTTTACAAGGAAATAAAAATTTAAATTTTTAATTTTAATTTTTATTTCAATTACCAAAAAAAAACTGATCAGAAATTGGCAATTTGGCTAATATCACACAAATGTCAAAATATTCCAATTTCAAAATAGGGTGCAGACATTCCTGACACTAAAAAAACATTTATTCTGTTCATTGGTCACGTCTCCAGGCCCTCTTATATTACTCTTGCTTTCTATCCTGACGCCAAATGACTTCGAACAGGTGATAAATGACATGCCATGCACTCTGCCCCAGGGCCAGACTCATGGAACTCCGTGTTCATCAAGAACTGCAAGAAGCCCCTTTTCACGAGCCTTTTCCATCCTATGGAGAGGGAGCATGGTACACGGGGGTCGTCCCTACAGTTACTAAAAACAACAGACATAGCCCACTCCACAAAGGGGGCAGTAAAGCAACAGCAAAGAACTACAGACCGATAGCACTAACATCCCATATCAAAAAATCTTTGAAAGGGTCCTAAGAAGCAAGATCACCACCCATCTAGAAAACCATCAGTTCACAAACCAGGGCAACATAGGTTTAGAACAGGTTTGCTCCTGTCTGTCTCAACTATTGGATCACTACGACAAGGTCCTAAATGCACTAGAGGATAAAAAGAATGCAGATGTAATATATACAGACTTTGCAAAAGCCTTCGACAAGTGTGACCATGGCGTAATAGCGCACAAAATGCGTGCTAAAGGGATAACAGGAAAAGTCGGTTGATGGATCTATAATTTCCTCACTAACAGAACACAGAAGTAGTCGTCAACAGAGTAAAGTCCGAGGCAGCTACGGTGAAAAGCTCTGTTCCACAAGGCACAGTTACTCACTCCCATCTTGTTCCTCATCCTCATATCCGACATAGACAAGGATGTCAGCCACAGCACCGTGTCTTCCTTTTCAGATGACACCCGAATCTGCATGACAGTGTCTTCCATTGCAGACACTGCAAGGCTCCAGGCGGACATCAACCGAATCTTTCAGTGGGCTGCAGAAAACAATATGAAGTTCAACGATGAGAAATTTCAATTACTCAGATATGGTAAACACGAGGAAATTAAATCTTCATCAGAGTACAAAACAAATTCTGGCCACAAAATAGAGCGAAACACCAACGTCAAAGACCTGGGAGGATCATGTCGGAGGATCTCACCTTCAGACCATAACATTGTATCAATCGCATCTGCTAGAAAAATGACAGGATGGATAATGAGAACCTTCAAAACTAGGGAGGCCAAGCCCATGATGACACTCTTCAGGTCACTTGTTCTATCTAGGCTGGAATATTGCTGCACACTAACAGCACCTTTCAAGGCAGGTGAAATTGCTGACCTAGAAAATGTACAGAGAACCTTCACGGCGCGCATAACGGAGATAAAACACCTCAATTACTGGGAGCGCTTGAGGTTCCTGAACCTGTATTACCTGGAACGCAGGCGGGAGAGATACATGATTATATACACCTGGAAAATCCTAGAGGGACTAGTACGAACTTGCACACGAAAATCACTCACTACGAAAGCAAAAGACTTGGCAGACGATGCAACATCCCCCCAATGAAAAGCAGGGGTGTCACTAGCACGTTAAGAGACCATACAATAAGTGTCAGGGGCCCGAGACTGTTCAACTGCCTCCCAGCATACATAAGGGGGATTACCAACAGACCCCTGGCAGTCTTCAAGCTGGCACTGGACAAGCACCTAAAGTCGGTTCCCGACCAGCCGGGCTGTGGCTCGTACGTTGGTTTGCATGCAGCCAGCAGCAACAGCCTGGTTGATCAGGCTCTGATCCACCAGGAGGCCTGGTCACAACCGGGCCGCGGGGGCGTTGACCCCGGAACTCTCTCCAGGTAAACTCCAGGTAAACACAAAAAATAGAAGATTCACTGCTATGCAGACTACTGCATTATTGTAATAATTGCATAAATAATGTCAACCCATTCATGGCTACGCATTAGACTGGCCAGTTGGACATGTATTGGACAATGGTGTCATTTGTTTACTCCTTGAACACTGGCAAAGAATTGAACATTTCCTCTACTTTGAGCTCAATTTCAATATATTTTTCATTGTGAAATCAGTCAAAATCATATCTCTTTCTGTAATATATCTTCCATCCTATCAAATGAGTCTCAAAAAATGAGAATACTACCATAAAAAACGTACAAAAATATACCACTAATGGCTGAGAAGTGAACTCTGTTATTTATCATCTGATTTCTTTCATTTTTGGTGTACGTTAAGAACCGTCTTTTCATCATACATTGCCCAAGTTTCAATAAGTTAGTCCAACAAACAACAAATAGAGTTACATAGATTATTATAAATAGCAACATATGTGTAGAGAACCTAGGATAACCCAAAAAAGTCAGACGAAGTGACTTATGTATTTCCATTGGGGGTCTTTTTGTGAGGTTCTTTTATGTTGTCTGTGAAATTCATTGCATTCCTATCATTATTAATGCCGCTATGTTATGATATAAATGAGATAATCAACGAAAATGAGTGTGTATCATAGCCCTGTATCACACTATGTTTTCTCTTAATATAAGCCCCCAAGACAGAGATAGGAGGAAGGTACAGTGGACCCTCAGGTAACAGCATTAATCTGTTCCAGAGAGCTTACCTTTAACCGATTTTGCCGTTAGCCGAATTAATTTTCCCTTTAAGAAATAATGGAAATCCAGTTGATCTCTTCCAGACACCCAAAAGTATTAAACAAAATCATTTTTTTACATGAAATATACATTTCCCTACACAGAAAACAATGACACGTGCACAAAAAACAATACTGAAATGACACTTACTTTTATTGAGGACTTGTTGATGAATGATGAGATGGGAGGAGGGGAGAGGATGGAGGTACATATACTATTGTTGGGAAGGGCAATCCCCTTCCATAAAGACTTCAGGTAACAAGTCCTTTTCTGGTGTTACCTCCCTTCTTGGTTTTTTAATGCCACTAGAACCAGCTTGAGAGTCACTGGACCCCTGTCGCACAAAATATCTGTCCAGAGAGCTCTGTTTCTGGCATCTCTCTAAGATTTCCCTGAAATGGGACACAAGAGTGTCATTGTACATACTGCCAATACAGCTTGCAACAGCTGTGTCAGGATAATGTTCATCCATAAATGCTTGCACCTTTGTCCACATTGCACAAATGTTCTTAATCTTTGATGAAGGCAACTTCCTCCATCTCTCTTCCTCCTCCTCTGAAGCAAATTTCTGAGCTGTGATTTGTTGCTGTTGCACCTGAAGCTCTTGTAGCTCTGTAGTGGCTAGCTCTTCATCGTCATCCTCCACCAACTCTTCCACATCCTCGCCACTAACCTCCAACCCCATGGACTTCCCCAATGCCACAATAGATTCCACAACTGGCATAGGCTCCTCAGGATTAGCCCCAAACCCTTCAAAATCCCTCTCTTGTACACATTGTGGCCACAATTTTCTCCAAGCAGAGTTCAAAGTCCTGGAAGTCACTCCCTCCCAAGACTTACCTATAAGGTTTATGCAACTGAGGATACTGAAGTGATCTTTCCAGAACTCTCTTAAGGTCAGTTCAATGTCTGAGGTCACTTCAGAGCACTTTTGAAACACTGCTTTGGTGTAGAGTTTTTTGAAGTTTGAAATGACTTGCTGGTCCATGGGCTGGAGGAGAGGAGTTGTATTAGGAGGCAAAAAACTTCACTTTGATGAAACTAAACTCCCCCACAATTTGCTCTTGCAAGTTGTGAGGATGAGCAGGAGCATTGTCCTTTACCACAATTGAACACTTGTTGGGGTTTTAATTTTTCAGCCTGTATATACCCCTTAAAGCCCTGCACATATTTTTCAGCTGTTTTTTTTTTTGTCAGAACTGGCAGCCTCACCATGTCTTATCACACTGTGTATGCCACTACAATTCTTAAGTCTCTCAAACCAACCTTTGCTGGCCTTAAATTCACTAACATCAGCACTAGTTTCAGGCATTTTCTTAATTTGATCATCATGCAACTGCCTTGCCTTTTCACATATTACTGACTGAGAAACACTCTCCTGATAATTGTTTCTCGTTGATCCACACCAACAGCAGTCTCTCCACATCTTGGAGTATTTGCGATCTCTGTTTTGTAAGCATACTTGCACCTTTCGTAACAACAGCTTCCTTGATTGCCTTTTTGTTGGCCAAGATAGTAGTAATGGTTGAATGGGGTTTGTTATATAACCTGGCCAACTCAGAGACACGCACTCCACTTTCGTACTTTGTGATTATTTAATTCAGTAGTATTTCTCACCTATTTTATCACAGGGGTGGCACTAGAAGCTTTCTTTGAGCCCATGGTGGCTTATTTAGCAGTTACAAGCTCTAAAAATAATGAAATAATACAAAATGTATCGCATGTACGCGTGGAATCATCCGCACTGGCTTGTAAACAACGGCACACTATCTGTACTGGCAAGGCCAGGCGGCTCAGGTGCTCAGGCCACATGGACACGTTCGGGATGAATGCCCTTAACGAGTTCTTGGGCATTAGCTGAGCCAATATTTTGATGCAAAAATGCACCGCTATCCGATTTTGGCGTTAGCCAATGCCGCCATTACCTGAGGGTCCACTGTACTTTTATCCCATATCCTCTGTTGTTGTTATTATTATTATTATTATTATTATTATTATTATTATTATTATTATTATTATTATTATTATTATTATTATTATTATTATTATTATTATTATTATTATTAAAACCAACCATACCACGGGCGGGATTGAACCCGCGGTCAGAGAGTCTCAAAACTCCAGACCGTCGCGTTAGCCACTGGACCAGCTAGCCACAATAAGATTCGTCCAACTAGGTATATTTTTACACCATAGGAGGGTTAGCATAGGCACCACTGTGACCACAAATGGTCAGTGGCTAACGCGACGGTCTGGAGTTTTGAGACTCTCTGACCTCGGGTAATATAATTACCCTGTGAGTTTTTAAAAGAAAAGTTAAATGTGGGTATTACAATACAATACTGTGTTTATTTTGTGATATGGGAAATATAACAATAAAATATTCTTTATAATTTATAAATTTTTGGATTGCAGGGATCAGACACTGTTGCTGCATTGGCTTTGCTACGCAAGTACTACAATTCACCCATGGCTGGTTTTAGTGGCGTAGCTAACGAACATTCTACAGTCACCACGTGGGGACGGAATGGAGAAGTAGATGCATTTCGTAATATGTTTGAGGCTTTTCCTGATGGTGCGTAGCAAATCTATAAAATGTATTTAGAGAACTTTTTAGATTTTGCTTTGCAATTTGATATGATGAGTGGTTAATATGAAAGTATGTATTTTGATAATGTAGGGAAAAGTTCACCAAAAGCCTGCACATAAAGTAATCTTAAATAACTTGACAATGGTCCAGGATGGACCAAAACTTAAGATTCCTCTTTATGTGCAGGCTTTTGGTGAATTTTTCCCTACAATATCAAAATAATCTTCTTTCATATTAACCCTTTCAGGGTCCAAACCCAAAATTTGAGATATGTCCACAGGGTCCAAAAATTTAAAAAAAAAAAAAAAATATTTTTTCTTATGAAATGATAGAGAATCTTTTTCTGAAATTATGCTCTTGCAAATTTTGATGCATCAGCGATATTTATTCATTGGCGATTTTGCTGACTTTGACTCCCATTTTAAGCCAATTACATTAATTCAGTCGACCAAATTCTTAGCCATTTTGCTAGTATTACTTCTATTTTATTGATTGAGCACAAGAAATCACTAAGTCAACTGTTTCAACTACCCAATAAAGTGATCGGAAATTGGTAATTTGGCCAATTTACAACAAAGTTCAAAATATTCCTATTTCAAAATAGGGTTCAGAATGAACAATGCAGGCATTCCTGGCACTAAACTAACATATCCTCTGTTCATTAGTTATGTTTTCAGGCTTTTTAAATGAACTCCATTTTGTTTTTCTATTAACATAATGAATTTTTATTCAAATAAAAAAATGGAAGATTTACTGTTATGCAATATTGTAATTGTATAAATAATATCAGCGCATTTGTGAACGCATGTAAGGCCCATCAGCTGATGTGTATTGGATGCGTGATGTGATTTGTTTACTCTTGAACATCGACAAAAAATTTCACATTTCCGCTATTTTGAGCTCAGTTTCAAGCCATTTTCAGTACCAAAACCAATCAAAATCATCTCTATTTCTGCAACGTAACTTCCATTCTATCAAATGAGACCAAGAAATTGCAAATACAACTATAAAAAGCATACGAAAAAACACCGCAAAGTCGCTGTTTTAATCCAAAATTACGGTCTCAGTTTTTTCTCTCATTATGCGCTGTTTGCTGCAGGATTTGTTTTATGTGGTGCACATTTACCACATAGATGTATTTTCTCATATCTAGGCCCAAATTTACTGCTCACAGCTTATCTGAGTGAGCCGAGCTCATGGTGTAGAACTACGGTTTGAACTCAGAACTCAAAGCCGTAGAACTATGGCACGGACCCTGAAAGGGTTAACCAATCATGGACTGAAACATCATCATATAGGTCCCCTCCTAAGTGATGGCGTTTGGTAGATGGCTTCAGTCATGTAGTGTGACTTTATTTTCTGTTTTTTATTTTCTTTATTTTCTGTTGTCCAGTTTTGGTGATCCTGTTCCCACTGTAGCCTCAGTTTCCTGTTCTTAGCTGTTCTTGGCTTCTGTAACCCATCCACTTCAAGGTTTAATGTGTTGTGAATTCAGAGATGCTCTTCTGCTTACCACTGTTGTATCATGTGGTTGTTTGAGTTGCTGTTATCTTCCTGTCAGCTTGTACATTCTGGCTGCCTTTCTCTTCTAACCTCTCTCATTATCAAGGCATTTTCTTCCACAGTACTTATGCTCCTTTAATGTTTTGTGTTTTCATACCATTCTCTGTAAACTCAAGAGACACTTGTGCATGAAAATCCCAGGCAATCAACAATTTCTAAGATACTCAAACCTCCCTGTCTGGCACCAATAATCATTCCACAGTTAAACTCACTCGGATCATATTTCTTCCCCAATCTGTTGTTCAGTTTAAGCAACAACAACTGAGCCTCTTGACTGTGTCTGCATGTTTTTAGGCACCGAGATGCTACCACATGATCAGCTGATTAGACATGTGCATTAACGAGCAGATGTACAGGTATACCTAGTAAAGTGGCCTCTGGGTGTAGGTTAGTGGCAAAAATATTTCAGAGAAATATATTAATTACAATTTATTGTGTTTTTATAATTCATATGGCAAGTTGTTCAACTTTGTTGGCTCCTTTTGTTTGCACTTCAGTGTCTATAAAAGTTCAGGTAAATATGAAGAATACCAGAGTGTTTCAAGTATGATGTGTATTCTGTTACAGTTTTGCAGGTAGTGTCTTAGGTCAGCGTCAGCATTACAATGTAATGGTTTTAAGATGTGGAGTGAACAGTAGTATGTATGGAGGTAATATTTAGCAGGGCATAGTGTGTTCCTTGTAATTTGAGCTTGTAATGGTTTTGATAACTTCCTTTTGTTGTATTATAATTGGTTTGTGGTGGACAACTAAAGTAGAACCTCAGGCACAGATTCCATAGGTGAGGTATGGGTTAATGTGGAGCAGTGTTAGAAGTATTGATTAAGACTATAATGGTAGATTTTGGAGTTCATATATAGGAGGCCCTCCACATTCATGAGGGTTAGGGGATCAAGAACCTCGTGAATCCTGAAAATTCACGAATGTTGGTGCGCAGATATGATGTAGGGAAATATAATACTGTACTGTATCGTTAGCGAATGTTTTGATGCGCAAATATATTGTAAGGAAATATAATATTGTACTGTAGCGTTAGCGAATGTTTTGATGCGCAAATATATTGTAGGGAAAAATAATAATAACATTTTCTTAGCCTAACAATACTGCTTCCTTAGCCTATTGAACCATGAACAATTATAAAATGCATGAAAACATCTTAAAATATTGTTCTATTTTATAGGGACCTTGGGTTTTTTTGTTGATCATAGTTATTGCGGATTTTGGTTTTGGGCCACTTTTTTTTCGTAAATTTTTGGTTTTATTTTCGTTGATCGTACAGAACCTTCCCAGCCCCAGTCAAGGGACCAAGGGGCCCCTCCCACACGTTTTCCGGGCCAGGTGGTCGTTTCTCAGTCAGGAACATATCCTGCCCGGTCATACAAAACTTTTTTTAATAATCCCTTGTTTTTTTTCCCCTTGTTTTCATGTGTGGGGCTCTAAAAAAAGTGACCCTGGCCCCCAAAAAAGTCCTATGCCCTGCTTTTGGTTTTAAAGAAATGAGGAGCACCATAGAACGAAAAAAAAAATCCTAAGAAAAAATGAAGTGGCATGTGCTTTTTCTGAACTCGGAGGTTTAATGGGAATGCCCTCAACAATCAGCCCATTGTGGCAAAAAGGGGAAAAAAAAAACATGGAATGAGTTGCAAAAGGGGTGAATGAAAAAACCAAAAAGAGTCCCAACAGTTTAAAAAAGGGAAAAATTTTTGTTGGTGTGGATCAGAGAGAAAGAGTTAGCAGGTGGTAGTGCTGTGCAATCCATTATTTGTAAAAAGGCAAGGCAGTTGCATGAGGATCTCATAAAGAAACTGCCTGAAACAAGTGGTGTTGAAAGTGAATTCAAGACCAGCAAAGGCTGGTTCGAAAATTTCAAGAAACGAAGTGGCATACACAGTGTTGTAGGCATGGTGAGGGTGCCAGTTCAGACAAACAAGCGGCTGAAAAATTTGTTGGGGAATTCAAATGTTATGTAGAGTCTGAAAAATTCCAACCCCAACAAGTGTTTAAGTGTGACGAAACAGGCCTCTTTTGGAAAAAAATGGCAAAGAGGACCTACATCATACAGGAGGAAAAGGGACTCCCAGGACACAAGCCTGTGAAAGACAGGCTAACTCTCTTGTTGTGTGGTAATGCTAGTGGGAATTTCAAAGTTAAGTCTTTACTGGTGTATCACTCTAAAAATACCATAGTGTTCAAGAAAAACAGCATTGTTAAGTCAACTTCAAATTCAAATTTATTTATTTATTTGCAAGTAGTACATTGAGATTATGTTTGTACAATAATGGGTTGCAGTGCAAAGAGAGCCTTTATTATGCCTAAGCATTATGGGCTGACTTAATTTAATGGCTTACTGACTACTTAACACAAAAGAAATTTATCATAGTTGTGTAGTAGTTCTATTAATTATAAGTGAATCTAATTTATAAGTGAATCTAATTTATACAAAGAGTAAATTGTGTGTGACATGGAAGGCAAGCAGTAGGGCATGGGTCACAAGGGAAATTTTCCTGGAATGATTTAATGAAGTGTTTGGCCTTAGTGTGAAAAAATACCTCCTGGATAAGAAATTACCACTCCAGTGTCTCTTGTTAATAGACAATGCTCCTGCTCATCCTCCAGACTTGGAAGACCAATTGTCTAAGGAATTCAGTTTTGTAACAATGAAGTTTTTGCCTCCTAATACCACTCCTCTCTTCAAGCCCATGGACCAGCAGATCATTGCAGACTTCAAAACACTGTACACCAAAGCAGTGTTTCAAAGGTGCCTTGACATAACCTTGGACTCTGAATTGACCCTAAGAGAGTTCTGGAAGAATCACTTCTGTATCTTCCACTGCATAGGCCTTATAGATAAGGCTTGGCAGGGAGTGACTTCCAGGACGATGAACTCTGCTTGGAGAAAATTGTGGCCAGATTGTGTCCAAAAGTAGGATTTTGAAAGGTTTGAGGCTGACCCTATCGACCCTACACCTGTTGTGCAATCAGTTGTGGCATTGGGGAATTCCATGGGGTTGGATGTGAGTTTGGAGGATGTGGAAGAGTTGGTGGAAGACCACAATGAAGAGCTAACCACTGATGAGCTGCAAGAGCTTCATCTGCACAGCAACATACCACAGCTGAGGAAATTGCCTCAGAGGAGGAGGAAGAGAGATGGAAGAAGGTGCCTTCTTCAAAGATTAAGGAGATTTGTGCAATGTGGACTAAAGTGCATTCATTTGTGGAGCAACATCACCCTGAGAAAGCTGTTGTAATCTGTGCTGGTGACTTTTACAATGACAATGCCATGTCCCATTTTAGGCAAATCTTAAAGAGATTCCAGAAACAGACCTTTCTGGACAAATATTTTGTGCAATAGGGGTTCAGTGACTCTCAAGCTGGTCTTAGTGACAGTAAAAAACAATGGAGGAAAGTGACCCCATATAAGG